GAAGTAGAAGAGGTGACTTCTTCTATATGTTTTGATCTTTACACGATAATGATGTGGTGAAAATCTATCATTAAATACTCAAATTTGTTTTCTTCTTGCCAGATGTTGACCAACAATCGTATCTGGAAGAAGCGTACCGTGGACATCGGGGTGGTGACGGCAGAGGAAGCCCTCAACTACGGCTTCAGGTAAACCACCTATTCCCTTTCAATTTCCTTTTATGAAATGCACACACATTTTTAGTTGGTATGATATTTCTACCCTGATATTTAACACCTCTCTTCTCACCCCCCCCCCCCCCCCCCCCAGTGGAGTGATGCTGCGCGGGTCAGGCATCAAGTGGGACCTGAGGAAATCTCAGCCTTACGACAAGTACGACGAGGTGGAGTTCGACATCCCCATCGGAAGCAACGGAGACTGCTATGACAGGTGAAAGACTTCTATTGGCTAGCGCTCCAACACATTGTACGTGATAGGCCATGGGGCGGGACCTCTGAACAGTTGACCAATCACAACAGAGCTAGCCAGCTAACCAATCAGAGCAGACTGGGCTCTGGTTTCAGACAGAGGGTGAAAAGAGGTGCTGCAGCACAGTAGGGCTGCACGATTTTGGGAAAAAAATCTAATTGCGATTTTTCTGACAAATATTGCAATTGCGATATTTGTTTTTAAGCGACCCAACGGAAGTTTATTGTAAAATGCGGCCATAACTCCGGCTAGGAAGGTCGCATCAACGTGCTTCCGTCTCCAGCACCCCCGCAGCCCGAGCTACGAGTGAAATAACTAAACTTACATGAAACTTCCGTTGGGTTGCTTTAAAGTCAAGCTTCAGTTTAAGATTCACCCTGTAATAGAAACATGTGATGGAGCATTACTAACCTGACTCAGATGGTTTGTTTCACCAAACCATCGAGGAGAGCTCCATTGGAAGCCATTTGGAAAGGGCAGGCACTTTCAAAGATACTTGGCAGGTGATTGGATCAATCTGTCTATCACTTTCTATAATGGGCCACTTCTGATTGATTAACAATGGCTGGTACATGTGGAGCACAGCACTTCTGATTGGTGTGGTTGACTGACACACAAGAAGAAAGAAGAAAGAAATTGTTAAAAAAACAAAAACAAAAAAAGTTTTAAAAAATCGCAGGCTTTGCGATTTAATAATCGCATCATTACAAATCGCGATTTCGATTTAAAATCGATTAATCGTTCAGCCCTACAGCACAGGCAGAAAAATGAAGAGCTTTTTGAACATTAAAGCATGGAGACATGTCAAAATTAGCATTATAGGGCCCCTTTAATCTACAAATAAACACTCGTGTGAAAAGGAAGATATTTGTCCGACATAAGAGTTGCGATGATATGTCATAGCTATTTTATTAAAGCTGCTTCGATCCAACATGTACAATTCTGCCGCAAGTATGTCATATTGAACATTGAATTCTGGCACCCTGTCCATCAGAAAGTATTTTATGGCTTTCCCCGGACACCATATGTAAATAAGTCATGGTTTTTCTGCAGATAAAGCTGAATGTTACTGGTTAAGCATTTCCATTGATGCAGCACAGGCAGTGCCTTCTGTCCTGTTTAGTTCTCTTATCACAGATATTGAGAAATGACTGAGTTGAGCTGTTGGGAGCAAATGATGAGAAATAACGATGTCTATTTGTGTGATCAACTCCTCCCCAATTTACAGAATGACTTGAAGTTGATCATAATCTGTGGATGATTTCCTGACTTGTGTTATCAGAGGTAGTAGCTGACTGTTTTATCTGCGTGGTCCAGGTATTTGTGCAGGATGGAGGAGATGAGGCAGTCGCTGTGCATCGTGCTGCAGGCTCTCAACAAGATGCCAGAAGGAGAGATTAAGGTGGACGATGCCAAGGTGGCCCCACCCAAGAGGTCTGAGATGAAGGTGAGCTGGAGTGGGGATACCTTAACCCCCCCCCCCCCCCCCCCCCCCCGCACAATATCATTTTCCATTCCATCCTATAAGCTGGTTTGATTACGCAAATGTAAAAAACGTTTTTCCTGCTTGGACTTTCCCCTTATCTCTTCTATGTGTTTGTTAAATGTCAGTTGTGTTATCTTCACACTGTCATCGTTACAGAGTTAGCCACTTCTATAAATAAAAAGCACCTTAATTTGGCCGCCCTTAAAGGGATAGTGGAAATCCGCGAATTTTGGGTTTGACTTATGTATTTTTATTAAAAATAAGCATAATAAACAATTTTTTTTTATTTCATGCGCCTAGTTTCATTTTATTTTCAATTTTACTGCGCCCTCTCAATGAAACGAAATACTTCGGGAATCTTCGGGTGATGACGAGAGCATAGGAAGACGGGCACAAACAATGGCGGACATTCAATAGCATTTGCATGTGAATAGCCGACCTTTATTATGGTGAATAGATGTGTCAATACTTTATACCGAGTATATTGCCATAAATATGATGATTGATTATCAGTAAAAAATTCTACGTGACACAACGACATTGGATTAACCTTGAGATGCGTTTTTATTCCGTTGAACACAACTTTTGATCACAAATCAAAAAAGGTAAGACGTAATTATTGTAATATTTTTGGAACCGGATGTTGTTTACTTTCTCTTTTCTGGCTGATAGCTCCAGGAATTCGAGGTCTTACAGTGATGACATTACATGTGTGGAATCTGTGGAGTCTCAGCTTTAAATCGTATATCTTGTTTGTGCAGTTAAGATAGCAATAAGGGCATTTCTACCGTGTGTTGTGTGTAAAAAAGCGTTAGCATTAGTTAGCATTGTTTCGCTCAATGCTAATTCAAAGGCTTGGTATTACTCTTGTGTTTTTTCTAGCTAACAATTGTTCTTATTGTCAGTTAGCGGAGTTTCTTACCTTTAAAAGGGTATGAAACATTAATAGTTTCATAAATGTTAAGAAGCCCTGAGACATGTGAGAGAAAAAAAACTGTGGGAGGGGTCCACTGGGGGGACCTTCGGGCTTAACTGGTTAACAATGATTAATATTTGTAAAGGCTACAGGTGATCTTAAGATGCGTGAGCTATGCTTAGGGACCTACCAGTCAAGATTATTTGTGCGTAGGGGTGCATCATCTGGCGCCTGGTCCTGGTCATCCTCGCCATTGCCCATGCCGTGAACCATCACCTCGGGCTCGGGCTCGAACAAATAAGGACGTAATGGTCCATCGTCTGGCTCAATATTGTCACCATCGTCGCTTACTGAACCGGATTCAGATTCAGTTCCTAAAACGACATTTTCGTAGGAAAGCCGAGAGGATGTTTCTGACTCGCTATTATCACTGGATATCTCGTACAATCCTTCTTCTTTGTCTGGTATATTTGCCCTTCCACGTTCATTCTGCATAGACGCCATAGTTTGTTATCGTATCGTCTTCCTAAGTTTTCGTCACTTCCGGTTTGGCTGAGTCGAACATTTCGTTTCTAAAAAACTTCGGGGAAGCTGCAATAAAGTGCTTCTAACATGCGTAAGGCAATTATTATATTTTTTTAATCAGGTGTGATTGTTTTGGTACGTAATTATGCTTGTATATAAGTTAAAACGAAACTATTTGAGGTTCCATTTCCACTATCCCTTTAAGTTCTGAGATCACTTCCTGTAATGTTTGTGTGCATGTGCTCTTTGTCCTAGAATTCCATGGAGTCTCTGATCCACCACTTTAAACTGTACACAGAGGGCTACCAGGTCCCTCCAGGCGCCACATACACAGCTGTGGAGGCCCCCAAGGTGAGAGACCCCATAAATGTATATGTGTATAAAACCACATTTTCGTATTTTGACTGCTGTATAAATGCATCTGTAAATGCCCTAATCGAGCAAATCGATGTTAACCTTAAAAGGGTAGCACTCTGAAGGTCCGTACTGACTCGCTTCTTTGAGTCTTAATTAATTGTGAAGCCCTTGACGGCCCTAAGGGATATGCTTACTACAGTGTGTGTGTGTGTGTGTGTGTGTGTGTGTGTGTGTGTGTGTGTGTGTTGCAGGGGGAGTTTGGTGTTTATTTGGTTTCAGACGGCTCCAGCAGACCCTACCGCTGCAAGATCAAAGCTCCCGGATTCGCTCACTTGGTACGCACTCAAAACTTCACAAGACACCGTGAAATATTAACACACCGGGCATCAATTATTTAGCATGTTTAACAGCTTGTCCTTAAGGCTACTTTTAGCTCATTAAGTGGATTTTATAAAGTACTATAGAAGCTTTTTAAAAGCCCCCCCCCCCACTCTCTCCGTCCTTCCTGCTAATGTTTAACGCAGTCATTTTCATTTCGGTCTTCAAGGCTAAGATGTATTTTAAAGTTGCATAAACAAACTATTAGAGTAGTTAGTGCATTAACTCCAGGCTATAATCTTTTCAATGATGAATATTCAGTTTTCTAAGAGCTTCCCTGAATAGTAGTTATTCTGTTAATACTTCTTCTCTTCTCTAGGCTAGTCTGGATAAAATGGCCAAAGGACACATGTTGGCTGATGTGGTGGCCATTATTGGTAAGAAGCTCTCAACTCGATGCTATAAAAGAAAGTATTAGCTTTTGTATGAAGTTATACTGAGCCTTTTCTTTTTTTCTAACAGGTACACAGGACATCGTGTTTGGCGAAGTTGACCGTTAGCGTGCTGGTTCCCTAAAGATGAGGATTCTTTCTCCTCTTCACTCATCTGTTAGTCATGTTCTCTTCCTGTTCACTTGTTGCTGTAGTGAGGCTTTGAGAGGTGACTGCTAATAACCAGTGATGTACAAATACACTTAATAAATATTTTATGATTGGACAGCAAAGTAGTGTGTTGTACTTTTCTTTTGGTACGATTTATAATCTTTTAAACAACATTTTATTTTTCAAATTCTCCATTTCCGTGACTTAACTGAGAATCAACTATTAAGCATGACAGCAGAGACCCAACCTCGATGTTTGTCCTTCCTCTGGTTGGTGGTAAAAGGGGAGGGGTATGATGAGATCTAAGACAGATGGACTTATAGCTCCGACCACAACTTCCCCTGTTGGCTGTGAGGTACGCAACATTCGAATTTTCACCAGCACAGAGAAAAAGAAACCACCCACTAGTCATCGTGTTTACTGCGGCCACTGAAGGAGCCCAGTTGTCCGTGTCGAGCCTCTGGAAACATGGCCATGGGGGACAGGAGCCCGCTACTCGTTATCAGTCTGTGGATGTGTTTCGGGAGAGCCGGTGAGTTGTGACACCAAACTGGGATAGACTGAACTTAAAGATGTTCTATTGAATTCTCCGTTGGAGCTACAAACCCTAAAACTGAGCAGTGTGTGAACAGAAACTGGTTATTTAGGTAGCCAGTGTGAAGATAACCCAGTTTTGATGTTTTTGCTGTACACCACAATTAGTTTGTACATTGATGTTGGCAGGTGTTCATTTAGAGCAGTGAGGTTTTTTTTGGCCTTTCTCTTCAGTGTAGGCAGTTCCTGAGGAAATGGAAATGGAAACCGGGCCTGTTGGTTCTGTTTCTTGTGGCAACATGGCGCTGAGGTGGACCACTTTTTAAACTACTTCATATGTTAACGCAGACCTCGGCACACCCTGCCTCTGCCCAAAAACTTCCCTTTTTTCTTTTTGTTCCTCAATTATTTTTAAATTTTGCAACATATATTCAGTAATTATACATTAAAAAACACATTTTCAATATGCACAACTTAATCGGTTCAACAGCGGTGAAACGCAGATTTTTTTTTTAGAAATAATAGAAAATAAACCAAATGTACTGTTTTCAGCGCATGTGAGACATACCTATGTAGCCCTTAAATGGCTGTTCACATTTTTTGGTGGAATAGGCAAGATGACGTTAAAGTGTGGTAAATAGAGTAGCGCTGAAGCACTCAAACATTTATTATGAAAAAATATTAAAGTACTTGTTTTGGTTCCCACTCCTCAAATTTGTGGATTTAATATTTTACTTTTAACTAATTTAGGGATTTTGTACTGTGTTCAGATTGACAGAAGCAATTCCAAGACAGCTTTTTTCTGGCGTTTTACAGACCATTATTTATTGAATTTTTTTATTTTAGCTTTAATTTCAAACCACAGCTGACTACTAGAATTTCAAAAAAGAGAGCTCTCACTATCAAATCATGTTTCCTCTATCCACTAAAATACCTTCGTAACAACACATAGAACTGCACATTCAATAAATCCCAATTTTAAAAAAAATGTATTTAAAATTAAGCTACAGCCGAGTGTCGTGAGAGTCGTGAGAAACAGAAGTTCTCATCTTTGAAACTGCGCTGAGATCTGCTTGTATGATATGAGTGGCGGTTAAAGTGTTCGGACACTGAATTTTGAGTCACTCTTTATTATCAGTCCATTGGTTATTTTAGGGGGCTTATACAGGGTTGGCTGTTTCCTTATAGCTGTAGTACACGCGAGTTGCGGAAACCGAAAGAGATGCTGATGGAGGCTAGATAATACCCCACACATCAAATGTCCAATAATACCAGTCGATATCATGCGATTCTCTGAAAAGAGAACATGATTTGGAAGTGGTGAAAAACCATCATGTGATCACAGATTGACATGATTTACAGATATACATGTAATTAATTCAAACAAGAAATACCCCACTTAATATGTGCCATAAAAGCCATTAAAAGGTAAATACAAAATGACCTTGAACTGTGATTCATAAAAGGTCCATACAAGTTATACATTAATCCATAAATGTGCCAAATATCAGTGTCTTTTTGAGAGTTTTTATTATATTTCATGTGTCTCTTCATACTTACAAATCTAACTAACATCTTAACAATTGTTCATTGGGAGGATCATTTAATAACTTTTATGATATTTTCCAAATGGTCTTAAACATCATTAAGAAAACAAGAAGAAGGGATCACCAGCCTTTGTTATTCATATTTACAAAACCCAATTCAGAAGGAGAGGAACTAACGACATAGTCCAACAGAAATCCACAGTCCCTAATAATTTCCTTCAAAGTTACAGTCTTATACAATCAAGCGGTTTTATCACTTGATGTTTTTATTCAATACCTGCAAACCCAAGGCCAACATATTCAAGAAGATCGCTGTATGTATTCAGAAACACCAAAGAATCCATGACCCTATGTCACTGCTTTGGAAGGACTTTGCTTGTAATATCTGCAGCGAATTCTTCCGTGATCGAAGGATAAAGAAAAGACGTGTGTAAGAAGTAGACGCCTTTAAAAGCTGACTTCCCGTCGTCTTTAGTAAAAGCACTTATGCAGGTACAATTTCCAGACTCAATATTACACACTGCAGAAGGAGAAGCGGTTGTTGTTCATTACAGCTTAAAATGATATGCTTCTGATGTGTTGCAAACAGATAACATAACCCACCCTTTTTATTATTACATTTCCTTGATGAGTTGATTAACTGAAACTCAAACGCTACTTTTACTGGGGACTCGCAGAAGTGTTTTATTTCCGCTATTGTTTGCATGGCTGTAACTATCTCACCCTGTACTGAAAAAACTAAAACGTTTAATTAAATATATTACGTCAAAGAATTTCACATAACTGTATTAGGTTAGTTGAAAGCGTTAATATCAAGTTTAAATAGGTTCAACTTAATATTATTGCTTTCAACTAACCTAATACAGTTATGTGAAATTTCACGTCAACGTTTCAGTTTTTCAGTGTGGACTGTAGACATGTCATGTTTTCACCATTTTGATTTCACCATCTCAGATTGTGACGTCACGGTTACTCAATATGCCGTTTTGTAAATGAGAATCTCTTCACAGGAGAACCAACATGACAGTAAATAATAATGCAATAGTTAAGCTAATGTTTTGGAGGAAGTACTTGATGATGATGGTGTTTTTCTAATTATTTTGTATAGTAACATATGGGGAAGGGATATGAATTAATATAAGTAACTATCTTTGTTTCCTCAGCTGCCTTCACAGAACCATACGTGTGTTACGTGCTGGATGGCATCCTGTTTTTGTACGGCATTATCCTGACGGCGCTCTACTGCAGAATCAAGGTTTGAATGATACACACTTGCCTTTACACACACATTTAAACTGTATCAGTGGCGGTTCTAGACTTATTTCACTGGGGGGGCCAGGATGGGGCCAATACCTTTAATGAGAGGGGCGCCTTTAATGGAGGAAGAAGGAGATTTTAAGTCAGAGCACATGTAAAAAAAAAAAAAAAATACCATTATTGATGTTTGATTTAGTAACAGAGTACCTGTCAATGACTTACTAGAATTTTTATTTTTTATTTTGTTGTTACTTTGTCCCAAGATACCGGACATTAAAAGAAGTTTGGGGTAATAAATACATGATTTATTCAGCCAAACTCTGTTTTTAGCTTATTTGTTAATATTAGTTTTAGTCACAACATTTAGTCAGTAACTCAGTTTCAACTCATTGAAATGATATATCCCAGGTTACAGCACAGTAACTTAGTGTTGTACATGAATTGTATTATAGAAGATTTATTCTTTTGGAGGGGGGCCACAAGGGGGCCTAAGCTCTGTGTAACTAGCCACTAGAACCACCCATGCTGTACATCAGATGTATTTAATATGGAAGAACAGATGATATTTTGAACTGAATGACTTGCTTTTTAAGTAATCCGATACATTATGGATATAACATAGGGTCTCATCAGCATGCTTCACATTCAGAAAGGGAGAACCAGTATCAATCACATTTAGAATACAGAATATATGCTGATGTAGTGGCAAACAACACTTCTATTTGTTTATTGTGGCAGATGAATGTTTTGCTATACCGAAATAAGACTTCTTTGCTTTCGACACCTTTCGATACCAAGAGAGTACAATTTAGCGCGACTAAACAACTGTTAATGGACGGTGAAACTACAGTGTGACATGTCTCTCACTAATGTAACTCTATCTATAAAGGTCAACAATGCGAGGCTGGCTAAAGCTAAGATCGGCAAGCCGGCCAAGAAGGTAAAAATACACACACACGCACGCTGTACATGTGTGATTGAAATAGATGACTCATCGTCTGAAATAAATGTTCAGAACACAATTAACCACAGCACTTACTGGAGTTTCAGTGAACAACTAGACACAGAGCTTCTGTGGAGGCAAAAATAAACGTAACTGGTCACGTCTAACTTCAGTCGGCAAACAGCGATAGGAAACACACCTCTATGGTTTTTTCTGCGGCCCCACACTTGCAGCTGTGTGCGGCCAGATAAGCTCTGCACCAGCGGCTAAATTGCTTTAATAGAAACATCTATGTTTTATAGTCATGTTCCTGTATGTGAAACTAAATTGCTAAGCATGCAGAGATAGAGCTTTTCATACTCACACTCAACCCCATTGCATTATAGAAATACACTGGAGATACATTGCACACTTGGTACATTATATTGTACACAAACACATTCCTTTGTTTCATATTGTTTTTCATTGTGCCTAGTGTTGATAGCATACACTGTATAGGTTTTACAGTTTAGGCTGGTGTTTTTGCAATGCCTGATAACATGCTGCTGAAAAGAGCGTGCTACCTGCTGCTTGACTGCTTTACTTATTTAAGTGTATTATTCCCTATTACCAACCACAAACCTGCCTCGACACACACACACACACACACACACACACACACACACACTCTGAAGTGTACAGATCTGGTGTGTGTAGCTTGTTCTTCCTCTTTACAAAGATGTGTAACGAGACGTTTATGTAGTCGTGGCCAAAGAAAGACACAATATGTCTAATATTGCTGTTTTCCCTCCCTGACAGAGTACTGATGAGAGCCTCTACTCGGTACGTTGTGATTCTGTGATGATGTAAAGTAAATGAGGGATTGCTGAATCCCTAAAAAATACTTTGATACTATATTTATATTTATATGTACCCACTCTTTTTTCCCTTCCAGGGGTTGACTCCCCACGCCGCGGACACGTATGAGACTATTGGGCAGAAGAAGTGATTCAATAAGCGAGAGACAGATGCCATTCTTCTACATCTTTTATATATATTTAAACTTAGCATATCTAACCCTGCTTTTATTTTTGAGAGAATGAGAGAATGCGTGCAGTGTTCATTTCCCTTTTGCTATTTTCTTTCTAATGTTATTACAAAGGACGACAGGGAAGTTCAGCTGAAGATGGGAAACTGTTTTCGCCTGTTTTCTTTCTTGCACATTCTTGCATTTTTAAACTGTTATGCTTCCGACACATTATGTACAAAAACTCAAATTAAATGAATGTTACATTTTGTCTTTAAACTGTCCAACGATCTATCGCTTTGAGGCCATCGGTAAGGCATCTTATGTAGGAGAGCCAAACACAAGATGGTGTGAGTGAATACATTTAAAGCCATTTTCAAGCCTGAGATACTGAGCAGTGTTACCTGTACGCCACAGGATGGCAGTGACACACACACACACACACACACACACACACACACACACACACACACACACACACACACACACACACACACACACACACTGTTTTGTATGTAAAGTGCTGCCTATAGGATGCATAGAGCTCTTGTACGAATAAAATCAATGTGAACTTGCTCATTACATAATGTTGTCTCTCTTTGAATTACAGTTGATAATTAGGGGGACCCTGTCTCCTAGATATTACGTTTTGAAGGGAGTGGTAAACCTCCAGTCGTCATAAGGTAAACAACCACAAACAGAAATGAAAATGATCATTTTCTCACTGTGGTTTGGCAACGTACAGTTTGTATGAGGCTGCGAAAGATTTATGTCTGAAAAGCCATTTAGTTAGATTTAAAAAAAATAGGTGTCCGAAGTGTTGTGGTCATGTGGGGTAAACAATGCAGGGAAAACCATATACAAAGTAGGTATGTCCTGCTTATTCCTGTTTTTCAGATTATGGAATTATTTTCTGGGGTGTTGACTGGGTTTATATCCCTTTTAAAAATGAATGGCTTAATTTGTTTTTCTCCTTTGGGAGGAGGCAGCTTTTGTCTTGGTGTCAGCCTTGTATAAAATCCAGCCTTTAAACTGCCACTCCGTGTCTTCTTTCACCTGCCTGATCAGAGCAAGTAAAGACGAGAAAATAACTGTCATGTACAAACCGGATTGGTGAGTTCTGATGCGTGTGTGTGTGTGTGTGTGTGTGTGTGTGTGTGTGTGTGTGTGTGTGTGTGTGTGTGTGTGTGTGTGTGAAGCTGTGTGTGTGTGAAGCTGTGTGTGTCAGAAGCTGTGTGTGTCAGAGAGAGAGAGAGAGAGAGAGAGAGAGAGAGAGAGAGGGGTGTAGCTCAACAGGTGTATAGGTGTAACAGGTTAAGCTGAGCCTTCTTTTTTTCTAAAGAGCTATCATTATGGCATGGGCTTGACAAACCAACACGTTATCAAACTGAAAGGATTTGATTTGACTTTATAAGCAGTTTAAACGCTAACATTTCTCACCCAGGACGGGACTTTGGGAGGGATTAAGGATGGAGTCATGAGTCTGCCTCAGTGCTACATGCATGACTGTTTAGGATACCTTCTGGACTGATGATCTTTATTTCAACGCTGATATTGTCCCAGCTTGTGCACAGTTAACAGTATCTGCCGAGGAGAATGACATCTCTGCTGAACACACTGTCTCTGTGTCTCTGTGTCCTCCGGATCTGTGGTAAGAATCTGTGGCTTTTCAATGCCGTCTGTAAAAAGTGATATCATGCAGAAGTATAGTATTATTTTAAAACTTCATAGTCTGGTGTCAGATATGCCATGGCGTGACCTTATTATAGGCTTTATCTCCTAAATGATTGTGTGACCTTTAGTGTTCTTGTGTATGAAAGATGACCTACAGTATGTCATGTTTATTTACAAGTTAAGTTCTGTATGCTCTGGGCAGGGGAGCAGCTTGTAGACTTAGTGTCGTTAAAGAAAACACATGTCTGACATTTCGGGAAAAACAGGTTGCTGTTGATCAGTCCTCCCCCCCCCCCCCCCCCCTGCCTGATTCATTGCATGGACCCTCCTTGTGTGTGGCTTAAGCCTAAATGTGTGTGTACATGCTGTGAATGTAGTAATTATCTGTCAGCCTGGAAAATACTTTCTACTGCATTGTTTACAGTAAATGTATTATGTACCAGTTGATCAGCCCATTATTCTTCAAAAAGGTGCCACAATTAAAAAACTGTCAGACAATCATAGTAATACAAATCAATCTAATAAAAAAAGCAGGTGTGTTATTCCAGTAATGCGGCACAGGCACATTTCACTGTATGGCTTAAAGCTCCAGGTGAAACACACACACACACACACACACACACACACACACACACACACACACACACACACACACACACACACACACACACACACACACACACACACCTGTCTGCAGTGCACAGTACAAACATCAGTTCTGCTGGTAAAAGCATGAATCACGTCCAACCTGCTGACATTACTAAACAGATTCCTACACATTAGGTGCTCAGTGTGGATCAACAGAATTATGTGTGACCGACAGTATACGGTTCAACATCACGTGTCATGTTCACACATTACATCAAAGTGTCATCAAAACTGCACTAAGACTAGGTTTGTGCTAACACAGGAAACAACGAAAATGTTTTCATGTTCTCGCCTTCAATTGACTGCTGTTACTTCACATTCTATGTATCACTGCGTGTTCAGCTCTTCTTTTTATATTTTGTAACAGATCAAAATGAAATTTGACAGATGTTTTGAATTATGATCAAATGACAGCAAAACTGAAGACAATCCCATTCAGCTAGAACTTCATGTTCAGCACTGATTAGCAAATGCTAACACGCTAACACTTATTTAGCTCAAAACAGCTGCAAGGACGACTTCAGCTACTGCGTTTCCGTCTACTTCTTTTCATATGTTTTTTCAATTTGTGAGTGATAATAGCACGAGTTGAAAAGCCAAAAATGTTAAAGATTCAATCATTTTGCAGATTTTTTCAAAGTTGGTTAAAATGTGCAATACATTGGAATGTAAACTTTAACTAAACTAAGAGTAGTTATCTTGCAACAATGCTACCAGCTATGCTAGCAACTGAACGGTGACTTTGAGATGTAGATCTTGGTATAACATTAGTGAAATTGAAGTGAAACTGTTTGAAATCAGCAAACAGCGGGAATAGTGATCTGAGAAAAATGCTCTAAACGTCTTGATTTTACTGATTAGCTCATTGTAGTGATAAAAACACCCGCCATATTGAATTTCAGCTTAGAAACACATGGTCTGTGGTGTTGTGGATTTACATATCACCTGCTGAAATATGCCAGCTGTTCTCCTTCATTCTCACAATCAGGAAATGGCACCTTCTAAAAGAGATTCCCTCACCAGCAACACAAGCCTGATGCCAAGAGCAAGAAGATAATAGCACATTGTGATGATGTCCGGCAGTGGCTCAGTCAGTAGAGGCTTGGACTGTTAGCCGTAGGGTCGTCGGTTCAAGTCCCCGACCAGACCTAAATATGTAGTTTGGACCTCCTGCCCGGCCTGGTGCCCTTGAGCAAGGCACCGGACTTCCCTCCTCACTCCCAAAACAATATTTGCACCGGGGCCAATCACAACCTTGTTACGCCACTGCTCCTGGTACTAGAATGGGTTAAAAGCAGAGAACAAAATGTCACTGTGTGCTCTGCATGTGTGACCAATTCTAATGAATAACCTGTCTATTGTTTTATCTTAGCATAGGCAGACATTACACTTATTTGCATATGCAGAACTTTTCAGAATTTAATTTGAGTGCCAAGAGAAACTTCCCTCTGAGAGATACAAGCCCAATCTTCCTTTTTACCCATACATCTCGTGCTTGGTCTACATAAAAACATGAGGAGAGAAAAGCAGAAAAACACAATGCATGCTGGCCTTTATGGTGTGGCACACACATTATGCAGCGTCTGTTTTTCATGTCTTGCATATTTCCTGAGGCCTTGAACGTCTCGCTCTGTCCAGACACTGAGGTAACCCTCTATTAGTTTGCATTGAAAGCTTATCTCGAACAACTAGTTAGGCAACATATCTTCACTGGTGCTTCAACTGATAGACTCCTTGTCCTTGCTCTCCTTCCTCCACTCTGTCTTCACTCTGTGTGGACTCTGTGAACCCCCCCCCCCCCGCTCCCCACCCCCCGTGCTCCTCCTATATTGAAATGCAACCGTTGAGTCTGATTTTATATTTTCATTTCACATGATCCATATTGCACACATTAAACCTTTTTGACCTAAGGCCAGAACACTATGAAACTGTACCTCGTGAAAACACAGTGCCACTGAAACATTGAAACATAAAGAAACTAGATATATAAGCCACGGCCAGCAGCCATGTAACAGTCTGGCACGTAGCCATGCGTGCTGTCTTTATACTTAGGTACAATTTAAGTATAAATCACCACAGTGTAGAAATACTACACATTTTACTTCATTTTTTTTATAAATGTTATAATTGTCCCATTGCATCATTTATTTGTTGATTATATATTTTGTATTGCTAATCTGAATCTGAAACACTACCAAAGGTATCAGATGTAGTAGAGGACAATATTTACCTCAGCGATGGAGTAGAGTAGGAGTGTAAAGTAACTAAAAAAATGGAAACACTCAATCAAAATACAAGTATCTCAACAGTTGTTGGTATATGTATTTCAAAAGTGAATAAGCTGCTGACTGTAGCTTCCTTTGCAGTGGAGAAATATGAGAGAAATCAGAGAAAATCTGCAATTATAACTAAATAGAAGCTTGGAACAAAATTCACTCTGCAAAGCCTAAATAGCAACAGACAAGAAGCATATGGCTTTAGTGTCAGCCAAGATAAATAGGTATGGCTAGACCACATTCTTCGTGGGAAACGCACACTTCTGTAACATTAGCTTCTGCCGCGTATACCAACTCTCTTTTCAAATGGAAAATAAGCAGAATAACTGTTTAGTTAGTGTGTATAGCAGCAACTAGGACTTTTTCCTGATCTTCTCTTTGAACTATTGCAATTATAAACAACTACAGGTTCAGGTTGGAGGTCAAAGGTCAGGGATCGGTTAGAGCAGGTATTTAACATTGAACCCATACTGACACGAGCCACTTGCACAAGCAGTTGTTTGTCATTCACTCTTATGTTTCTTGAACACTCAGATGTTAATACTCACCCCCCCTCTCCTCCTTTACATACAGTGATACAGGGAGACGTTGTGGATCCTCCTACAGTAGAACCCATCCTCTCTTTGTCAGAGAAGGAGACCGTCCTTCCCTGCCGCTACCAACTGTTGCCTGGCGACACCGTGGTGCAGGTCACATGGTACAAGGAGAAGCCAGATGCCACCAAGGACCAGATCGTCACTGCACACCACACTAATGGACAGACAGGTGGGCGCCTAGATCATGCTAAAAAAGATTTAAGATTGAACTTCCCCTTTCCTCACAGTGAGAAACTCTCCTATCATGGTTTTCCAACTCATAAGTGGAACAGAGCTTTAAGCCAGGTGTTCACCACAATCTGATAATTGAGAAACTGACTGTGATATCACAGATTCTGCTCTTTGCACCGTTTATTTTTTAATCTTGCACCCATTGTGAGTGTGAGACATGCTGGATGAGACTGTGAGCTAAACGCCCAGAATGTTAATGTAATTTCTTGCAAGAGCGAGTGCATCATGTGTATGGAACTGAAAGTGACAAAAGAAAGCCTGGGGTCTGTTTTCTACTTGCTGGGCTTAATTATTTGTGTCACATGGTCAGTGAACACTTTCTGTCTCTCTCCCTCTTTTCTTTCCCTCTGCAGTGTTTGGAGCGTGGTCTCAACGCGTGCGCTTTCAAAGCAGTGAACCCACCGTGGACTCGTCTCTGGTCATCATGAGCACCGAGGTCTCAGATGAGGGGAAATACCTGTGCCGCATCGTCACCTATCCCTCCGGAAACTTTGACACAGAGATGTCACTCACCGTGTGGAGTGAGTCCCTTCAAATGGTCAAATACACAAAATAAAATGAGCTTAGAAGTCTCTTTCTGCTGGAAAACACATATTGCAAAATACATTACATGACAATTACATGACTAACTGTTTTGTTGTTTTATTTTCAATATTGCACAACTAAATTCACAAAGAGATATTGAGCTTTCCTACATGACTAATAAGGAAGTCAATATGACACAATAAACATACTCACTTATTATCTTATTTCAGTGAGTTGAAATATACAAGTTACAACCCTTATAATGTAATAAACTCCAGGTAAGGAAGCCAAATGTGATTTATATAGGAGTTACGGGACTTTTATGTTTGTGGGGAAATAAGCAACAAAAACTGTTAAAGTTAGGAAAGAAAGCTACATTGTTTATTATTCAGGTAATATAACCACTTAATTTAACACTCCTGTTAAGCAGGACATATGACATCACTATTCTCTACCTGAGCCCACTACAGACCAATAAGAAAAACACAGAGAAGAACACAACTAAAGTCATGTTAAATAGCCAAAACTGTTTGAAATCTTATTGAAAACTGTCTTTCTGTCAAATTGCAAGATTTTTAAAGCACCTTTAGATCTCTCTCTAAGTCTATGTGTGCATTCCACTCTAACTATTCAGTGTGCTGACTTATCATTATCTTCCATCGGATCAAACATTGTAACAATTCCCCCCCAGCCATTCCCATCTCCTCCCTGGACCCTGTGATCCTGGTGGAGGGCCAGTCCTACCGGCAGGCCGCTTCCTGTCGCTCTGTGGCCCGCCCGCCCCCCCGCCTCTCCTGGGAAACCGACCTGAATGGCCAGTCCACCAATCGCTCCTCCGACAACGGGGCCGTCACCTCGCACTACTCCCTGCACCCCCTCAGGAGCATGAATGGCAAGAAGCTGGACTGTATAGTGTGGCATCCGACTCTAAAGGGCACCCGCAGGATCAGAAACAAGCTGGTGGTGCACTGTGAGTATTCATCAGCACTATACAGAGGCAGTGTTACATTAAAGGTCACCTATTATGCAAAATCCACTTGTTCATGTCTCTTCTACATCAACATGTGTCCCCTCTGTGTAAAGAGACTCAGAAAGTTTCAGGAAAGAAGATTCTCTCTCTTTTTGTCCTGATCCATTTATATAAAAACCTGTCTGAAAATGAGCTGATCAGATTTTGGCCACTTTATGATGTCATGACGATTTGTTGGCTTGTGTAACCATTAGCCAATCACCAAGGTAATCCCCCCCCCACCTTATCACCTGAATCTCCTCCTAGAGCACCGTTGAGTTCTTTGTAACCAAATGTCTCTCAGAGGGGCGTGGGGAGGGGCTCCTTATTTTCATCTAAAGCAACAGACAGAGAATCAGCACTTTGGAAACAGGGCTGAAACAGAGGGGATTATGGGATGCTGCAATGATCTGTTTGGTGTTTGGAGCCAAACACTTCAGAGACATGTTTTGTATATATCTGAGACCTCTAATATATTGATGAAAAAACAGTGTAATAGGGGACCTTTAAAAACACACACATGGTGAAAAACATGTAAAGAACATCTACAAAAAAAGAGAATGTAGTTCCTCTTTCCTTCTTGTACCCTACGACATGATCATTCTGTGGTTGGTAACAGGATATGACTGAACTTTGGCTTTTGCGTTTTATTTTGAGCTTCCTGTGAAATGTTGCATTCATTGGAAGTAGTCTTTCGTAATTGCATCAGCTTGAAGCTTGACCATTCAAATGTTGTTAATCCCTTCTAAAAACACTCTTCATAAACACGCTATTATTTGAATCCCTATGAGCAGAGGTGGGAAGTAGTGGAGTTCAAATACTTCATTACTGTACTTAAGTATATTTTTCTGGTATCAGTACTTTACTCCACTACTTATTTTTCTGACGACTTTCTACTTTTACATTTTTTACAGAAATACCTGTACTTTCTACTTCTTACATTTTCAAAACAGGCTTGTTACTTACATTTTTATCTTTTTAAACATTACCATAATAATTGTTGTGTTGTTACCAAGGAAGAGGTATACGATTCACTCTACTATCTACAAAGTATCCTAGGTTTTTTTCCCCTGTCCCCACTTCTTCTTTGCTTGTGTTCTAAATGGTGGTTGTTCAGTATTGAAACATTCATTAGCTAACAATGACATTTTTACAATTTGAAATAGAAGATCTTTAATGCTCTATTAATATAAAGTGAGGTCCAGTTACTCTATAAAACAGTTGGTAGTTATGGGTACTTTTTACTTGAGTACATTTCGAAGCCAGTAAAGTACTTCTTTACTTTTACTTGAGTAAAGAAGTTTGGTCAGTATTTTTAAACACGAGTATCTGTACTTCTACTTGACTAAAGGATGTGTTTACTTTTGCCATCTCTGCCTATGAGTATATTTTGTAATATCTTTATCTGCTTTTCATTGAATCTCTGTTGGTGTATTTATGTTCTTCTTCTCCTCCTCCTCTCAGACCCTCCGGATGCAGAGGTGTCTGGCTTCGCTGGAGACTGGTTGATGGGTTTGGAGAATGCTGCCCTGAGGTGTGTGAGCGGAGGAAACCCCAAACCACACAGCTTCACCTGGCTCAGGTACAGAAGGCCTGCCTCCCTCTGGCTGTCTGGAAGTCGTGTGACTAACTGTCTGATGTGTCTGGTCACTGTTACTTTTCCCATAACTCATACCAATTATTTCACTATAATTTTCCCAGTGGGTTGTACAAATGTTTCCAGGTCATCCTCAGGCAAATGTGAAAGTAAAAATGCCTCCATGTGACCAGGATGTTTTTATGATCTCGCCTGCTCTTCTTAACTCTCTCACAGAGCAAGTCATATAAAGCAACATTGACATACACTGTAAATATAGGCTCAGGGAAACAAATTCAACTTTGACAAATAATTGTAATATTAAAGTCAAGGTACAAGTAAACAATGTTAGTTGAAGCAATAGGGCAGAAAGCATAGAATCAAATGTGCCCTCCCGTGAATTAGTCAACCTTTTTGATCAAAGGCCTAATTTTAAATAGCTACAAACTTTATGATAAATATGTTTTAAAACAAATATTTTAAATAATATTTTCAAGGTAAGGATTTACCGAAGTCCTGTGCAGGGGCTGAAATAATAACACATACCAGGAAAGAGATAAGAAGTGTCATACAAGAAAATATGACACAACCCTATATAATTATTTTAAAGAAATAACAAAAGACCATGTTTTTAATTATATTGTCGAAATGGTATTTTGATATAGGTTTGTTTAGTCTGTTTATAAAATATTCCTAAACTTTGATTTGAATTATTGATAAGGAGAAGAGCAGTTTGCCAGATTCATAAACGAGCCATGAGATGTATTTGTCTTACAGATACTGTGGAGGTCTATACAGATACTGGCTGATTAGACTGCATGTAAAATACAATGTAGTCCTGTTTCTTCACCATCCTTTCCACATGGCCTAATCAGAGTCCCAGCGTTGTCACTTCCTGTGTCCATGCGTGGTTTTAAACTCAGACGAAGTTTTGACTGAGATTCCTCACTTCTTCTGCTTGAGTCACCTGGTGTCATCTTTAAGCCGTTTCATGAAGTGAATCAATATATTCTCAGGGTGTGGCATAGAGTTTGGCTCAAAAGTGTGAGCCACAAAATGACTGTAAGTCTCTCATGGAAGTATGAGAAGTGACAGTTTTGCCCCAGGGAGAAATTCCTGACCAACAGATGGGGCATATGTACATCTTAAATTTATAGAATATTATGTAAACAAGTTTGGTGTGGTTTGAAGTGATTTTGTGCCAGGTGATGTTTAACTTACCTTTCATTGTTAGTCACAGGAACACACCTCAAAGATTTTTTTGTTTTGAGTAAGGCTTACTAGACTCACACCTGATTGAGCATGTACACACACATACACAGGGCCATGTCAGCACTCTGAATCTCTAGTTACAAGGAAACCTCTCTTCCACACGCATTTCTCAGGTAGACACACACACACACACAACACACACACACACACACAACACACACACACACACACACACACACACACACACACACACACACACACACACACACACACACACACACACACACACCACACACACACCACACACACACACACACACACACACACACACACCACACACACACACACACACACACACACACAGATGACTGCAGCACTGGGCAAACCTGTTGGCTTTGTCAATAAAAGGCGGCAGGTGAAGTAATAGCTGCTGTCACAGTGTCCTGTTGCGGCTTGTGCCGAGAGCAGACAGATGAGATGGTTTCACACGAAGGAGGGAGGACGGGGGGATGATGAAAGGGAAAGGGAAAGGGATGATCGGCCCTAACAAGAGAGGTAGCAGGTAGCACAGGGGTTGGGGGGAGAGGAGGAGGAAGAAGAAGACGACGGATGTGTGGATTTGATCAAGATGTTATCAGATGTTATGTACAAACACAGAGTTCATATTTCCTGCTTGTAGTGAGGGTGAGTGTAATGTGAACAGGTTTGTTTCACTGCATGTGTTCCTATAGTTGGAATACATACACCCAGTATTTCTGAGGCAATGTTCACATGTTGTTAAAGTTCACAGCAATAGGCAGACAAAAAGGTCAAGTCTGTTCAAACGGATTAAATGAAATGCGCTCAAAACAACAACACCGAGGCAACACCCTGGAGTCGCTCATCAACACATTGCCCTGAGTCACACTGCCAGGAAATACCTTTGTATTTCCCAACAATTAAAAGTCCACAGTGTCGGCTATCGGGGATCTATTGGTAGAAATGGGATAGTAGATATGCTTTTTTATTAGAGTATATTAACCCAATGCCTTCTGTTTTGGTTCCCTTATGAGCCCTTTCATATCTTCATACTGTTGGTAGGAAGTGGGTCCTCTTCACGCTGTCGGCCATGTGGCTTGCCATGTTTCTACAGTAGCCCCAAAGGGACAAATCAGGATTCAGAGAGTGCCTTACGTGGCTTTATTTTACCTCAAGGCCAAATTAACAAAAAGAGCAATTTAATAGAAATGAATGCAGATTCTGATAACCTATGCAACTGAATAATCACACAAAAGCAACTCAACATGAAAAAAGAAAAAATGGTTTCACAGTAAGTTTGAAATAAACAGCAGATGTTGTGGCCGAAACCTGACCAACTATAAACAAACATTAACTTATGAGGGACTGTGTGAGTGATTGTATAAAAAGGGGTCATGTCTTTTTTGTTTTGTTGAATAGTTAGATAGTAGATAGTGAGGTTGTATCCAGTATTCAGCACCCTACCCAATCCTAGTATTTGTTCTCTAACATTAAAAGCTACTCTGTGAAATATAGTGAGAGATGCAGAGGTGGGAAGTAGTGCAGTACAAATACTTCGTTACTGTACTTAAGTACATTTTTCCTGGCAGTGTGACTCAGGGTAATGTGTCAGTACTTTACTCGACTACTTATTTTTCTGACAACTTTTGACTTCTTACATTTTGAACACAAATACCTGTACTTTCTACTTCTTACATTTTCAAAACAGGCTTGTTACTTTAGTTTTAATCTGTGTTTGGTGGCGTGATCATTATTATTTAGAGTCATTAGCCGCGTTCACACCGGAGTACTTTTCCCACAATAGTTCACCAGAACTACGATATATTTGCGTTCACACCAAAAAGCCCCAGGAACTAAATTAGTTCATGAGAACCTTTTGACCCCCTTTTCAGTCCCTGCTTAGAGAGCAGGTACTTTCGTGGTGGGAGAAAAAGGTTCCTATGTCTGATTGGCAAACCACGCCCCGTAAAACTCCCAAAAAGTGTTGTGAAGCCGCCATTTTATTATCCTCGCATTGCATTATTAGCATTAGCCCAGAAACGCAGAGAGACTAATTTATGGCAACACAAAATAAAACATGGGGGCGGTGGAGATGAGGAGGTGTCGGCGTTCAGGCGATTTACTCGGAAGGCTTCAGTAGAAGCTGCTGGGAGTCCCGGTGTTACCGAACAAGATGTGGGCCGAACAACTGGTCATATTCTATAACGGTATAGGCAGATGTATCAGGGGCGTGGCCTTTGTCGAATAACCAGGAAATACACATTTCTATCGCTTCTTCTGTCGTTTACATAAATCTGTTGGTATATTTGGCTCCATAGGAACACTTTGATGCACTTTCAGTACCAGTGTGTGAGGTTGTGGTTGCGATGCCGATATGCGGACGCGTACATACATAGTAATAAGTCTGGCAACAATAAATGCTTTAAATTATTTATTCAAGCTTGCAATGTTTTGAACACACATCCCCAGTCACCTCGTGTGTCTTTTTGTAGTCCTCGCTGTACGCGTCCGCATATCGGCATCGCAGCCACGCCCCTGACACATCTGCCTATACCATTATAGAATATCACCACATCTTGTTCGGTAACACCAGCAGCTTCTACTGAAGCCAGTCCCTAACTCCGGGGACTTCCGAACGGGGATTTTGGGCGGCAGTATACGCCGTGAAGTTGTTTGCGGCCTGTCACTACCCGATCCGTCCCCCTGCCCGATCGGTACTGCGCATGTTTTTACAATATTAACTCATCTCTCTCGAGTTTTCTTTTTGAGCTTTGCTAAAAGCCAATGTGTCAAGTGTCCATCTTGGGTTGCCGTCCGGAGTTGTCCAATATGGCGGACCATCTCGCACATGCGCAGTACCGATCGGGCAGGGGGACGGATCGGGTAGTGACACTGACACCTGCCAGTAAACCCAAAGCAGAAGAAGAAGAAGAAGTGACGTCAGCGGCTTCATTTGCCTAATCCACCCCCAGGGATGTATGTGTGTGAACGCGATCTGTATTTTTGTTCATTTTGTTTTGTCATTTTTTTTATTGTTCATGAGAACTAAAGAGTTCTGATGAACTAAAGTGGGAAAAGTACTGCGGTGTGAACACGCCTATTGCGTGCCTATTGGTTTTAACAGGATCCGTGGATCCATTATTTCCTGGGCCCTTTCTCATTTCTCTAACTCCCCTCCTCGACTCCCCTCCTCGACTCCTATCCTCAAGCAACACATCCTCACTCCCAGGTCGGCCTATGTTGACGTTATGTCAAGTCCTGTGTCGGCTTTTTCCAACGCAAGGGGGGGGCCTTAGCGTCCATTTTCAACGCAAGAGGGGGGCCCTTAGCGTCCATTTTCAGCTTTCCGGGATGTCCATATGCTTCTATGGACGCTCATGGAAGCACGACATTCGTTTGTGTCGGCTGCCCTTAAAGGCAATGTGAGCGTCCATTCTCATTGGATAACGGAGAATTGTACACCCGGAAGTAAGTATTCCCCTTACTGTCGATTGAGTTTACAGTGATATCTGCACTACTCATCGACTAAAAAACACCAGATTATCCTTGTTAATTACACAACATTAATTGGTTTAAATTGTGTGCAATGCTTTTGTATTTTTCCCCTTCGATTCGGAGAAACAAATATTTTTTCGGAGTAAAGGATGGCAGAAGACACTACACTACCCAGAATCCCCAGCTATCGTTTGGACTACACCATGTGCTCTGTTTGACATCACGTGATCTTCAAATTTCTCCCTGCAGAAAAAAAAACATGGCCGAACTTCGTTTTATTC